AAATCCCAGTGGAGGAAATGTTTCTAGTGTTGGATTTTTTTTTTGTGGCGTTGATAAACTCAAGTCTCCTTCTCTGCGTGTGTGTGTGTGTGTGTGTGTGTGTGTGTGTGTGTGTGTGTGTGTGTGTGTGTTTGCTGTTGTGCCTTTGAGCAAGACACTCTGACAGAACGTTTGTAAAGTTCAGTACAAATATAAGAAACATGATTATGATGAACGATTTTAGTTTTTTTTTGTTTTCTTGTGTTTGACTCGTGCGCTGGCTTCTTCCACAGGGGTTTTCCTTTCCTCTCACTCTCTCCTTCACTCTCTCCTCATTCTCTCTCTCCGTCTCCTCTCTCTCTTTCATTTTCTCTCCCTCCCTCTCCCCTTTATCTCACAACGGTCTTCCCCTCCTCCTACCTCTCTATCTCCTCCCTCTTCTCCCTCCATCTCCTTCCTCTTCTCTCCCTCTGTCTTCCCTCTCTCCCTCTCTCTTTCTCTCTCTCCTCCCACTTTCTCTCTCTCTCCCTACCTCTCTCTCTTCTCTCCCTTCCTCTCTCCGCCTCTTTCTTCTCTTCTCTCCTCCCTCCCTCCTCTCTAGCTCTGCTCTCTGCTCCTCTCCCTCTTTCTCTTCTCTCCTTCCTCCCTCTCTTTCTTTTCTCCCTCCCTCCCACCTTCTCTCTCCCTTCTCTTGTTTCACTCTCTCCTTCCTCTTTTCTTCCTCCTTCTACCTCTCTCCCCCCTCTCTCCCTCTTTCTTTCCTCTCCCCTTCCACCTCTCCTCTTCCTCCTCTCTCCCTCTATCTTTCCCTCCCTTCTCTCACTCTCCTCTCTCCTGCCTCACTCTCTCTCTCCTCCCCTTCTCTGATCTCTCCATCTCTCTTTCTCTCCTCCCACTTTCTCTCTTCTCTCCCTTCCTCCCTCCCTCCTCTAGTTCTGCTCTCTCCTCCTCTCCCCCTTTCTCTTTCTTTCCTCCCTCCCTCCCCCTCTCTCTCCTCCCTCTCTCTTTTTCTCTTCCTTCATCTACTTCTCTCCCCCCTCTCTCTTCTCTTCTTCCCCCTTTCCCTCCCTCCTCCCGCCGCTCTAGCTCTCCTCCCTCCCCCTCTCTCCCTCTCTCTTGCTTTCTCTCCTCCCTCCCTCTCTCTATTTCTCTTCTCCCCTTTCTCCCCCCTCTCCTCCCTCCCTTTCTCTCCTCTCCCTTCTCTCACTCTCCCCCTTTCTCTTCTGTCCTCCCTCTATTTCCCCCTCCCTCTTTCCTCTCTCGTCTCACTCTCTCCTCCCTCTTTCTTCCTCCTTCTACCTCTCTCCCCCCTCCCTCTTTCTTTCTTCTCCCCTTCCACCTCTCTTCTTTCTCCTCTTTCCCTCTATCTTTCCCTCCCTTCTCTCAGTCTCCTCTCTCCTACCCCTTCAACGTTCTCTTCTCTCTCTTCTTCCTCCCTTTCTCTTTCTTTCCTCCCTCTCTTCTCTCCTCCCTCCCTCTCTCTCTTCTCTTCCTTCCTCTACTTCTCTCCCCCTCTCTTCTCTTCTTCCCCCTCTCCCTCCTCCTCCACCTTTCTCTTCTCCTCCCTCCCTCCCTCTCTTTTTCTCTTCCCCCCCCTTCTCCCTCCCTCCTCTCTAGCTCTGCTCTCTCCTCCTCTCACCCTTTCTCTTCTCTCCTTCCTTCCTCCCTCCCTCTTTCTCTTCATCGCACTTCTCCCTCCCTGCTCTCTAACTTTGCTCTCTCCTCCCCCTCTCTCTTCTCTTCTCTTCCTCTACTTCTCACCCTATTTCTCTTCTCTCCCTCCTCTCCTCCCTCCCTCCGTCTCTCTCTCTCTCTCCGTCCTGCGCTCTGTGTTTTTTCTCTTGGCTCTGTTCCGTCACAGCTGCTCGTTCTGGACTCTCCGCTCTCGGTTTTGTCATTCTCCGCACTCGTCCGACAAACCCACAGAACCGTTCACTCTTTCACCACAACTTCACTTTTCTTCACCTTAAATCTGCTGAAAAAAAAGAGAAGAAAGAGAGAAAGAAACAAGAGAGAGAGAGTTTTGTTTACGTTCATAAAATTATTATATTGAAAAAAACTGGAATTAACCAACACGAGGAAAAGGCAAGAAATGATAAAAATACAGATTACCGTATTTTTCAGAGTAAAAGTCACACAAGCCAAAAAATGTGTAATAAAAAAAAAAAAAAAAGTGAAATAAGTCAAATTTTGGGGTAAATTTAGTAATAAAAATTAAATAAATAAAAATGCAATGTCCATAAGCTTTTTTTTTTATTTTAAATCACATTTCGGCAGATTTTTTTTTGCTTTGGACCAGTGTGGCAAGAAAAATGATCTGACGAAGGACTTTTTTTTTTTTTTTTGCTGAAATGTTATTTAAAAGTAAAAAAAAAAAATTTGCAAGTTCTGAGTGAGTAATAAATTTTTTCACTTTTATCGCTTTTTTTTCTTGCATTTGCGCTTCTACAAAAACCTTGGTGTGCGTTTTCTGAATCCGTGTGTCGTTCGTTCATTGGTTTTTCAAAATAAAACCAAAAATAAGAAAACAAACAAACAAACAAAAAACTATTTTCTTCATTATTTGTCTCCAAAATCTAAATGAAAAAAAAAAAAAACAGATAATGATTTGTTTTTTCAGTTTTCAATTTTGTGTTCAAATGAAAAATGGAAAAAACAGATAACGACGTTTCCCGTTTACGTGACTTAAACTGGACTAAACAAGAACTGAACCAGGACTGAACCTGGACTGAACCAGGACTGAACCTGGACTGAACCAGGACTGAACCAGGAGTGTTGGGACGGGCTCGGAGTTGCGCCGCCGTAGATTGTCGGGTGATCAGGACTCAAACCGGTACCAGACTGGGATCAGACCAGGACCGAGGCTGAGACCGGGACTTAGACCGGGACCAGACCGAGACAAGATCAGGACTGAGACTGGGACTGAGACCGGTTTAGTCCTGGTTCAGTCCTGGTTTAGGCCTGGTTTAGTCATGGTCCTGATTTAATCCTGGTTTAGTCCTGGTTTGGTCCTGGTTCAGTCCTCGGTTCAGTCCTGGTTTAGTCCTGGTTCAGTCCTGGTTCAATCATGGTTTAGTCCTGGTTCAGTTCTCGGTTCAGTCCTAGTTTAGTCCTGGTTTAGTCCCTGCTTTAGTCCTGGTTTAGTCCCTGGTTTAGTCCTGGTTTAGTCCTGGTTTAGTCCTGGTTTAGTCCTGGTTTAGTCCTGGTTTAGTCCTGGTTTAGTCCTGGTTTAGTCCTGGTTTAGTCCTGGTTTAGTCTGGTTTTTAGTCCTGGTTTAGTCTTGGTTTAGTCCTGGTTTAGTGGTTTAGTCCTGGTTTAGTCCTGGTTTAGTCCTGGTTTAGTCCTGGTTTAGTCCCTGTTTGGTTTAGTCCCTGGTTTAGTCCTGGTTTAGTCCCGGTTTAGTCCCTGGTTTAGTCCTGGTTTAGTCCTGGTTTAGTCCTGGTTTAGTCCTGGTTTAATCCATATTCGGCACAAAAGTTCTTCATCTTCTCTCTTTTATTTTGTTGAGCGTAAATTAAAAGTGCTGTAATATTCGTGTAATGTCTTAAATTTTAAACGCAGTAATTTAATAATGTAAAAAAATACTTTAAAACGACAGTAACAAGTAAAAAAAAAAACACATTACAGTTTTTAAATGTTTATTTTTATTTATATTTGTATGTTTGTTTTCAGTGCCAAACTTCAATAACGGCTTGGAGGCCAGTTCAGACTCAGACGATGAAGACAAGCTGCACATCGTGGAGGACGAGAGCCAGGAGAGGCCCCGCGCCCGAGCCGCCTTACCCCACAACGGAGCCTGCAACGGGGGTAAGTCCCACGCCGCTCCTGCCCCCCCGACCTCCGGCGAGTTACGGGTCAGATCTGCGGAGAGGCGACGCCGCTCACAGTCAGAATTTCAGTGTTTTTTTTGGTATTTTCGAGCAATAAAACCACCTCTAACTGAATAAATGTAAGTTAGATCTGTTAAATGTGTCATAAAAACAATAGTGACATCTCCATAGCAACAGGCAGGTGACAGACCCTCAACCGAAATGTTCCACAGTGCAGCTTTAAAGGGTCTGTGCCTGATTTAGTTTGATGTTTTTGAGTTTTATTTGTCTTTACAGTACAGATATTTTTTGTAAGCAGCTCTTGAGGTCAAAATAAGTTTGCCGCCTCTGATTATAAAACGTTTTACTGTCCGATAATCAGGAAGTGCGTGTCGGCATGCTAGTTGTTGTCAGCTCGAGTGCTCGTAAACTCATGGTTAATGCGGCGCCGACAAAAACTCACATCTGACCCGTTTAACTCCTCTGCCGGAGGCTCCGTCGGACGCTTCATCTTCATGGAGATGCTCTTGCTTTGTCTGGAATGTTTCTGTCTCCACGGAGACAAAATCAGACAGAGTTGCGGGTCAGATCTGCGGAGAGGCGACGCTACTCACAGTCAAAAAGCCTTTGTTTTTTTTTTTTTTTTTTGTAATTTCGAGCTATAAAACCAGCTGTAATTGAATAAATCTAAAGTAGAGCTGTTTAAAGTGACATAGAAACAGTAGTTACGTCTCCATAGCAACAAGCAGGTGACAGACCCTCACCTGAAATGTTACACAGTGCAGCTTTAAAAGGCCTGTGCTTGATTTAGTTCGATGTTTTTGAGTTTTATTTGTCTTTACAGTACAGATATTTTTTGTAAGCAGCTCTTGAGGTCAAAATAAGTTTGCCGCATCTGATTATAAAACGTTTTACTGTCCGATAATCAGGAAGTGCGTGTCAGCATGCTAGTTGTTGTCAGCTCGAATGCTCGTAAACTCAGCACCGACAAAAACTCACATCTAACCCGTTTAACTTCTCTGCTGGAGGCTCCGTCGGACACTTTATCTTCACGGAGATGCTCTCGCTTTGTCTGGAACCTTTCTGTCTTCACGGAGACGAAATCAGACAGAGTTACGGGTCAGATCTGCGGAGAGGCGACGCCGCTCACAGTCAAAAAGCCTTTGTTTTTTTTGTTTTTTTGGTAATTTTGAGCTATAAAACCACCTGTAACTGAATAAATGTAAGTTAGAGCTGTTTAACGTGACATAAAAACAGTAGTGTCGTCTCCATAGCAACAAGCAGGTAATAGACCATCAATCAAAATGTTCCACAGTGCAGCATTAAAGGGTTGTATTTGTCTTACAGCACAGATATTTTGTGTAAGCAGTTCTTGAAGTCAAAATAAGTTTACCGCGTCTGATTATAAAACGTTTTACTGTCCGATAATCAGGAAGTGCGTGTCGGCATGCTAGTTGTTGTTAGTTTGAGTAGTGGAACGCGCTCGTAACTCATGGTTAATGCATAAGGAGAGTGAGGGAAAAGATGGGAGGGCATCTGACACGCAGGGACGTACATTCTCTTCCTGTATGTCCATGTGGGTAGGGTTGTGCAAAAATACCGAAATATCGACATATCGTATCATTTCATCTGCTGATACAGTATCGAAACAGTATCGAACGCATTTTTTGGTATGTTTTACTAAATTATTTTGTTACAGCTACGGTTTTGTTGCTTGTTCAGAGAAAGGAAACTCGTTTATGCGACACATTTGACATTTTCACTGTTTTGATGATTAAAATGTTTGTATATAATTATATAATTACACTATATAATTAAAATGTTTATATAAACTTTGCACAAGAAGTAGTTTAACAAAGACTTTTAGGCTATGTTCAGCACTGTTGGGCAAATTACTTTAACACTGTAATGTGTTATTTATGACTTATTACTGTCATTTCAAAGTAATTCATTATATTACAGTATTACTGCATTTAAAAAGTAAGGCATTACATGACTATTGCATTACTCTAAGTTACTCTCACCAAAATAACTGCGAAGATGATGAACTTTTGCGCCATATATAGACTGAACCAGGACTAAACCAGAACTGAACCAGGACTATAACAGGACTAACTTCGGACTAGCAGCGAGAGGAACACAATACGTGTTCATCCACTGTAAAAACAAAAAGCATGTAAAATTGCACCAAAAAAATCTGCGAAACAGCGAGACTGCTAAAAGTGAACCGTGATAGAGCGAGGGACGACTGTAAACCAGGTCTAAACCAGAACTGACCCAGGTCTAAACCAGGTCTAAACAGCGCAGAGTTCTGTGTCGGTCCCGTCGCTCGCGGTCACCTGACGGTTTACACAGGCGCGTCTCCGGCCTTTCACCGCTTCTGATATTGCGGTGATTTTAGCAAATTTGTATGAAGAAAAACCCACCACTTCAATCCAGGATAAAAATGTATTGTGACGCGCTTTACTCACATTTGTACCGAGTAAAATATTACAATTTTTTTGAACATTACTGCGTTACAGCAAAAAGCAACACATTACAGTAATTCATTAATGTTCAGACTGCAGGGCTTAACGCTCAATTTGGATTTTTTTGTGAAATCCGATTTTTTTTGCGAGGTCGTTCACATTTCCATTTAAATGCGACTTGTGTGTGATCTCCAGTGTGAACATTAAACAGTCCAAAAGTGTCCCGCATGTGCATTGGAGGACACAACATCATCACACGGAGAATTTTTTCAGACTTGAAAAAGAAATTCATCTGCATTTAAAATTCTAAATTTTCCATAGAACTGTAGAAATTGAAAAACCTTTTTAAAAACCTTTTTAAATCCGACGCTTTTCTCCATCTGAGAGTTTGAGTCATCGCATTTTAGAGTCCGAAAACCCCCGATACGACAGCACTCCACGACGACACGGGGATGTGCTGTGATATCAGGAGTAGTTTGAGTTTCCCGTCGGTGCAGAACAAAAACTGTAACAGAGTCCGGATCATAAATCGTCTTTAGACTCACAGGAAAGTTTGTGTTTCTCTGTGGAGTTTTGTCTGTGTTTAAATCACTCAGCTGTTTCCTGTGTCTCGTTCACATGTGCACGAACACACGAGGTCCTGTCTGTTTTTATTATTATTGTGAGTTAGTGTTTTGTAAAGACGCATTGTGTAACTTTTCTATGTCGACATCGTTCCTCTGCCTGGAATGTTTCCCAGTTCGCCACGTTTACATGAGAGATTTAATTCCCAATAAAAAAAAACAAAAAACATGTGAACACTTAATTCCTAATGAAAATGATTATTCATCCACGTCTCTTTGGATTTCTGAGCGGGATGTGGGCTGAGGTAGAGCAGCCGCTGACTCAGGCCCCGTCCACATTAGTTCGTACTCGAGTCTTTTTCGGTGTGGATACAGTGTTTGTCTGCACTAATCCGATAGAAAATGCCTCCAGAGAAGGAACGATCTGGTGCCTCCAGCTCCCACGAACTCATCTGAGGACAGATCTGATCTGATCAGATTAAACCAGCTCTAAACCAGGTCTAAACCAGGTCTAAACCAGTCTAAACCAGTCTAAAAACTAAACCAAGTCTAAACCAGGCTAAACCAGGTCTAAACCAGGTCTAAACCAGGTCTAAACCTAAACCAGTCTAAACCTCTAAACCAAGGTCTAAACCAAGACTAAACCAGGTCTAAACCAAGTCTAAACCAAGACTAAACCAGGTCTAAACCAGGTCTAAACCAGGTCTAAACCAGGTCTAAACCAGGTCTAAACCAGGTCTAAACCAGGTCTAAACCAAGTCTAACTAAACCAGGTCTAAACCAGGTCTAAACCAAGTCTAAACCAGGTCTAAACCAGGTCTAAACCAAGTAAACCAGGTCTAAACCTAAACCAGTCTAAACCAGGTCTAAACCAGTCTAAACCAGGTCTAAACCAGGTCTAAACCAGGTCTAAACCAAGTCTAAACCAAGTCTAAACCAGTCTAAACCAGGTCTAAACCAAGTCTAAACCAAGTCTAAACCAGGTCTAAACCAGTAAACCAAGTCTAAACCAGGTCTAAACCAAAACCAGGTCTAAACCAGGTCTAAACCAAGTCTAAACAAGACTAAACCAGGTCTAAACCAGGTCTAAACCAGGTCTAAACCAGGTCTAAACCAGGTCAACACTAAACGAGGTCTAAATCAGGATCTAAACCAGGGTCTAAACCAGGTCTAAACCAAGGTCTAAACCAAGACTAAACCAGGTCTACTAAACCAGGACTAAACCAGTCTAAACCAGGTCTAAACCAAGTCTAAACCAAGACTAAACCAGGTCTAAACCAGGTCTAAACCAAGTCTAAACCAGGTCTAAACCAGGTCTAAACCAGGTCTAAACCAGGTCTAAACCAGGTCTAAACCAAGACTAAACCAGGTCTAAACCAGGTCTAAACCAGGTCTAAACCAAGACTAAACCAGGTCTAAACCAGGTCTAAACCAGGTCTGAATCAACACTAAACGAGGTCTAAACTAAACCAGGATCTAAACCACCAGACTAAACCAGGTCTAAACCAAGACTAAACCACTAAACCAGGTCTAAACCAAGACTAAACCAGGGCTAAACCAGGTCTAAACCAAGACTAAACCAGGTCTAAACCAAGACTAAACCAGGTCTAACCATGACTAAACTAGGGCTAAACCAGGACCAAACAATGACTAAACCAGGTCTAAACCAGGTCTACATTAGGACTAGACCAGGACTAAACCAAGTCTACATCATTTCTTAACTGAGACTAAATCAGGTGGAGTGTGAGTTCAGACAGACTTATGGTGTGTGGCGCCCTCTGGTGGAAATGTGTGGTATAACAAACAACAGTCCTGACCACAGAAAAAAACCTGGAAGTTGTACCAAGTGAACAAAGCAAAGTGCATATTGTTTACAGATTTATAACTCATAAAAAGTTAATTAAAACCAAACAGAAATGTCATGAATGTCCTATTAGTAATAAAATACAAACTAAAGACCACACATGTCAAGATCTACTAATATAATGTGAAATATTTGACCTTTTGTGTGTGTGTGTGTGTGTGTGTATATATATATATATATATATTTTTTTTTTTTTGCTAATTAACACTAATTTATCAATCATTTATTTGTTACACATAAATTAATGCTAAATAATGATAAATAAAACATTTAAAATAATAAAAATTATTATTTAAAAAATTATAATAAATAAATACATATAAAAATACATACAATTAAATGACTAAATATATAATGTACAAAAAAAAATTTATTTGTTACACATAAATGAATGCTAAATAATGCTAAATAAAAAAATTATAAAAAATAAAAATAATAAATAAATAAAATAAATAAATAAATATAAAATTAAATACAATTAAATTACTAAAAATATAATGTACAAAAAAATCATGTATTTGTTACATATAAATGAATGATAAATGATAAATAATGATAAATTATATTTAAAAAAAAGATAAAATAAATACATAAAATAAATAAATATAAATATATGTAATAAATAAATACATGAAAAATATAAAAATGATAAATAAATTCATGATCACAAACAGTTACAAAAAATCTGTACTTTCAGACGATGAAAATTTGTATTCTAACTTTTTATTTCAAACTATAACTAAGACAAAAACTATGAGCGGATATTTTAGTCGACAAAGTTAACGCTGATAAATAATTTTTTTTACATATTTGCTGTTGGTTTGGACCAGGTAATAAATGAATAAATAAATAAAAGTCGCTGTGCTGTGTGTGTCTCAGTGAAAGAGGAGTGCGTCTCGGAGGAGGGAGAGGAGGAGGACGGAGAGGATGAAGCAGAGGAGGACGAGGGGGAGGACGGAGGAGAGGAGCCCGCAGACGGAGAGAAGGACGCTCTGGTGGAGGAGATTCTACAGCAGGGAGACACCGCCATCATTTACCCAGAAGCCCCGGAGGAGGAGCGGGGAGCGGCGGAGACGGGAGGAGCCGACGAGAACGGTAAAGACGACCTACCTGCTCTATTTATACAGATTTATTTACAGCTTTTTTTTTGCTAAACCTCCCTGTGTGTGTCTCTTATTCTGTGTAAAAGCTGCAAATCCTGTAGTTTAATTAGACCATTTAAAGTTCAGATTTCAGTCAATCCTCCTGGACATGTTTAAAATGTGCACCATGAACTAAATCTTAAAACTAAATCAAAATCAAATTACCAAACGAGTCAATATTTATTACATCCATAACTTTTGGACACACGATTTTGTGTTTAAATGAAAAATGGCAAAAATAAAAACAGATAACGACCGTTTCCCGTTTTTGTCACTTAAGCTGTGATGCCGGACTGAACCAGGACTAAACCGTTTTCAGTCCTGGTCTGGTCCCAGCCTCAGTCCCGGTCTCAATCACGGTCTGGTCCTGGTCTGGTCCTGGGATCAGTCCTGGTCTCTGTCCCGGTCTCAGTCCCGGTCTCAATCACGGTCTGGTCCTGGGTTCAGTCTCGGCCTCAGTCCCGGTCTCAGTCCCGGTTTCAGTCCTGGTCCTGGACCCGGTCTGGTCTTGGACTCAGTTCTGGTCTCAGTCCCAGCCTCGGTCATGGTCTCAGTTCCAGTCTGGTCCCAGTCTCAGTGCCGGTCTCAGTCACAGTGTGGTCCTGGTCTGGTCCTCGTCTCAGTCCCAGTCTCAGTCCTGGTCTGGTCCCAGCCTCAGTCATGGTCTCGGTCTCAGTCTGGTCCCAGTCTCAGTCCCGGTCTCAATCACGGTCTGGTCCTGGTCTGGTCCTGGGTTCAATCCTGGTCTCAGTCCCAGTCTCAGTCACGGTCTCAGTCACGGTCTGGTTCTGGTCTGGTCCGGGCCTCAGTCCCGGCCTCAGTCCCGGTTTCAGTCCTGGTCCTGGACCCGGTCTGGTCTTGGACTCAGTTCTGGTCTCAGTCCCAGCCTCGGTCATGGTCTCAGTTCCAGTCTGGTCCCAGTCTCAGTGCCGGTCTCAGTCACAGTGTGGTCCTGGTCTGGTCCTCGTCTCAGTCCCAGTCTCAGTCCCAGTCTCAGTTCCGATCTCAGTCCCGGCCTCAGTCCTGGTCTCAGTCCTGGTCTCAATCACGGTCTGGTCCTGATCTGGTCCCGGTCTCAGTCCTGGTCTCAGGCCCGGTCTCAGTTCTTGTCCTGGTCCTGGTCTGGTCGCGGCCTCAGTCCCGGTCTCAGTGCTGGTCCTGGTCCTGATCTGATCTTGGACTCAGTTCTGGTCTCAGTCTCGGTCTCAGTCCTGGTTCAGTCCTGGTTCGATCATTATCTGTTTTTTTTTTTTTCCCCATTTTTCATTTAAACACAAAATCGAAAACTGAAAAAACAAATCATTATCCATTTTTTCATTTTGGTTTTGGAGACAAATAATGAAGAAAATAATAGTTTTTTTTTTTTTTTTTTTCTTATTTTTGGTTTTATTTTGAAAAACAAATGAACGAACAACACGGATTAGCCATGATGGATTAGTGAACTACTGAACAAAACTAACATGATGGTGTCTCACATTCGAACTGCACAAATCTCTCCGTCTGTGCTCAGATCAACATCATGAAATCGATTTTTAACTTTAATTCTAGAATCAGTCTGAATGAACAAGTTCCTCCTGTTTTATTCATGATCATAACAGTAGTTTTGTTCAGTGTCTCTAATGCGTCGTCGTTGTTCGTCTTTAAGTTTTCGTCTTTCTTCTCTTGATAGTTGTGGATAAATTCTTCATGTTAGAATGTTTATCTTTTGTGGACCTTGTTGGTTGAAGATTTGGTGACTGGGGCAGATTTATGAAGCTGCTGGAGAATACGACACACATTTACACACACATTTTGACACAGAAAATTATTAACCGGGAGCAGTGTTGTAATGTAATCCCCTACAGATTACAGATTACATACACCAAAATGTAGTTTGTAACGTAATCCATTAAATTACTTAAAGTGAGTAATGTAATCTGAATACTTTGGATTACTTGATATTGTTATGCTTTTAAAAACAACATGAATGTATCAAACACGTCCTGTTTGTTTTCTTCAAATTGTCTGTTGAGCCCAAGTCTCCATGAATAAGAAACTGTTTACTGTAGAGGAGCAAAGACCAGGAAATCTGAACATGAGATGTTTTGTTTTATCTGCTAAAAGAAAATAAAAAGCCCAGACTTTACTTCAGCATTTTAAAAATATTATTGATAGAGAAATTATTTCTATATGAAATCACTGCTGCCTTAAATTATGTTCACCTACTGTTAAAAATATATTGTTTAACCATATGAGTCCCTGGTTTATCTGGTTTAGTCCTGTTCTGGTTTAGTCCTCCTGGTTTACTGTTTAGTCCTGGATAGTTTACCTGGTTTTTCCTGGTTTAGTCCTGTCCTGGTTTAGGGTCCTGGTTTATCCTGGTTTACTTAGTCCTGGTTTAGTCCTGGTTTAGTCCTTGGTTTATTCCTGGTTTAGTTCCTGGTTTTAGTCCTGGTTTAGTCCTGGTTTAATCTGGTTTATTCTGTTTAGTCCTGGTTTAGTCCTGGTTTAGTCCTGTTTATTCCTGGTTTAGTCCTGGTTTAGTCCTGGTTTAATTTCCTGGTTTAGTCCTGGTTTAGTCCTGGTTTATTCCTGGTTTAGTCCTGGTCTGGTTAGTCCTGGTTTAGACCTGGTTTAGTCCTGGTTGGTTTGGTTTACCTGGTTTAGTCCTGGTTTAGTCCTGGTTTAGTCCTGGTTTAGTCCTGGTTTATTCCTGGTTTATTCCTGGTTTAGTCCTGGTTCAGCCCTGGTTTAGTCCTGGTTTAGTCCTGGTTTATTCCCTGTTTAGTCTGGTTTAGTCCTGGTTTATTCCTGGTTTAGTCCTTTGGTTTAGTCCTGGTTTATTCCTGGTTTAGTCCTGGTTTAGACCTGGTTTAGTCCTGGTTTAGTCCTGGTTTAGTCCTGGTTTAGTCCTGGTTTTAGTCCTGGTTTAGTCCTGGTTAGTTCCTGGTTTATTCCTGGTTTATTCCTGGTTTATAGTCCTGGTTTAGTCCTGGTTTAGTCCTGGTTTAGTCCTGGTTTAGTCCTGGTTTATTCCTGGTTTTATTCCTGGTTTAGTCCTGGTTTAGTTTATCCTGGTCCTGGTTTAGTCCTGGTTTATTCCTGGTTTAGTCCTGGTTTAGTTTCCTGGTTTATTCCTGGTTTATTCCTGGTGTTATTTTCCTGGTTTAGTCCTGGTTTAATTCCTGGTTTATTCCTGGTTTAGTCCTGGTTTAGTCCTGGTTTAGTCCTGGTTAGTCCTGGTTTAGTTCCTGGTTTAAGTCCTGGTTTAGTCCTGGTTTAGACCTGGTTTATTCCTGGTTTTTTTCCTGGTTTATCCTGGTTTAGTCCTGGTTTAGTCCTGGTTTTATTCCTGGTTTATTCCTGGTTTAGTCCTGGTTTATTCCTGGTTTATTCCTGGTTTATTCCTGGTTTAGTCCTGGTTTAGTAGACCTGGTCCTGGTTTAGTCCTGGTTTATTCCTGGTTTATTCCTGGTTTATTCCTGGTTTAGTCCTGGTTTAGTCCTGGTTTATTCCTGGTTTATTCCTGGTTTATCCTGGTTTAGTCCTGGTTTTAGCCTGGTTTATTCCTGGTTTAGTCCTGGTTTTAGTCCTGGTTTATTCCTGGTTTATTCCCGGTTTAGCCCAAAATGTGAAAACAGGAAAATCCGTCTGTGTAATCCATTTATTTCAACAAAGTAACTGTAATCCAATTACCACTCACTGAAACAGTAACTGTAACTGAATACGGTTACTCATAAATTGTACTCTGATTACGTAATCCCAGTTACATGTAATCTGTTACTCCCCGACACTGACCGGGAGTTCCTCAAATCTACAGCGGGAAACTTCCAGCCTTTGTGGAAAAGATCAATAATTAGACGCAGACAGTTCACAGTGGGATAAAATCAGGTAGAGGGGCTGTTGAAGTATTTTCCTCTGACTCTCTGTCTCTCTGTCTCTCTGTCTCTCTGACTCTCTGACTCTCTGTCTCTCTGACTCTCTGACTCTCTGTCTCTCTGTCTCTCTGACTCTCTGACTCTCTGACTCTCTGACTCTCTGATCTCTGACTCTCTGACTCTCTCTCTCTGTCTCTCTGTCTCTCTGTCTCTCTCTCTGACTCTCTGTCTCTCTCTCTGTCTCTCTGTCTCTCTCTCTGTCTCTCTGTCTCTCTGTCTCTCTGTCTCTCTGTCTCTCTGTCTCTCTGTCTCTCTGACTCTCTGACTCTCTGTCTCTCTGTCTCTCTGTCTCTCTGACTCTCTCTCTCTGACTCTCTGTCTCTCTGTCTCTCTGTCTCTCTGACTCTCTGTCTCTCTGACTCTCTGTCTCTCTGTCTCTCTGTCTCTCTGTCTCTCTGACTCTCTGTCTCTCTGACTCTCTGTCTCTCTGTCTCTCTGTCTCTCTGTCTCTCTGTCTCTCTGTCTCTCTGTCTCTCTGACTCTCTGACTCTCTGACTCTGACTCTCTGTCTCTCTGTCTCTCTGACTCTCTGACTCTCTGTCTCTCTGACTCTCTGACTCTCTGTCTCTCTGACTCTCTGTCTCTCTGACTCTCTGTCTCTCTGTCTCTCTGTCTCTCTCTCTGTCTCTCTGACTCTCTGACTCTCTGTCTCTCTGTCTCTCTGTCTCTCTGTCTCTCTGTCTCTCTGACTCTCTGTCTCTCTGACTCTCTGACTCTCTGTCTCTCTGTCTCTCTGATCTCTCTCTCTCTGTCTCTCTGACTCTCTGACTCTCTGTCTCTCTGTCTCTCTGACTCTCTCTCTCTGTCTCTCTGACTCTCTGACTCTCTGTCTCTCTGTCTCTCTTCTGCTCTCTCTCTCTGTCTCTCTGTCTCTCTGTCTCTCTGTCTCTCTGTCTCTCTGTCTCTCTGACTCTCTGTCTCTCTGTCTCTCTGTCTCTCTGACTCTCTGACTCTCTGTCTCTCTGTCTCTCTGACTCTCTGTCTCTCTGACTCTCTGACTCTCTGACTCTCTGACTCTCTGTCTCTCTGACTCTCTGTCTCTCTGTCTCTCTGACTCTCTGACTCTCTGTCTCTCTGTCTCTCTGTCTCTCTGCTCTCTCTCTGACTCTCTGTCTCTCTCTGTCTCTCTGTCTCTCTGTGACTCTCTGTCTCTCTGTCTCTCTCTCTCTGTCTCTCTGTCTCTCTGACTCTCTGTCTCTCTGACTCTCTCTCTCTGTCTCTCTGACTCTCTGACTCTCTGTCTCTCTGACTCTCTGTCTCTCTGACTCTCTGTCTCTCTCTCTGACTCTCTGTCTCTCTGACTCTCTGACTCTCTGTCTCTCTGACTCTCTGTCTCTCTGTCTCTCTCTCTCTCTCTCTGTGACTCTCTGACTCTCTGTCTCTCTCTCTCTGTCTCTCTGACTCTCTGTCTCTCTGACTCTCTGTCTCTCTGTCTCTCTGTCTCTCTGACTCTCTGACTCTCTGTCTCTCTGATCTCTCTGACTCTCTGTCTCTCTGTCTCTCTGACTCTCTGTCTCTCTGACTCTCTGTCTGTCTCTCTGACTCTCTGACTCTCTGTCTCTCTGACTCTCTGTCTCTCTGTCTCTCTGACTCTCTGTCTCTCTGTCTCTCTGACTCTCTGTCTCTCTGTCTCTCTGTCTCTCTGACTCTCTGACTCTCTGTCTCTCTGTCTCTCTGACTCTCTGACTCTCTGTCTCTCTGTCTCTCTGACTCTCTGACTCTCTGTCTCTCTGTCTCAGGTACTCCGGATGCCCTCCCGCTGCACATGTGCCCGTACTGCTCCAGGGGCTACAAACGAAACGCGTCTCTCAAAGAGCACATCAAATACCGACACGAGACCAACGACGACAACTACAGCTGCTCCCACTGCAGTTACACCTTCACCTACCGCTCGCAGCTCGAGAGACACATGAGCCACCACCGGGGGGCGAAACTGGAGCCCCGCGTAAACCAGAAGGTGAGAGACGAGTAGGAGAAAGAGAAAGAGAAAGAGAAAGAGAAAGAGACGCTCGCGAACTCGGACGTTTAAGATTTAAGAACCGACGGTGCGAAAGACTCAAGACTGTGACGCTCATTTCTTATCGCACCATTTCGAGTTCATATAGCCGCAATAATTAACCTGAGTAATATTATTTTAACTAACTGAAGTACAAATTTTGGCTTCTTTAGTATTAATATTAGTACTACTACCGGTAGTCGTAGTAGTTGTAGTAAAAGTTGTAGTTGAAGTATTAATCCAGTTCTTTAGTAAACAGTTTATACAGGTTGTTTCATGTAAGATAGTTGTAGTAGTCGCTGTAAAAGTACTAGTAACAGTTGTAAAAGTAGTAGTAGAAGTAGTAGTAGTAGTAGTAGAGGTAGTAGAGTAGTAGCAGTAGTAGTAGTAGTAATAGTAATCAAAGTCATAGTTGAAGTATCAATCCAGTTCTTTAGTAAACAGTTCTATACAGGTTGTTTCATGTAAGATAGTTGTAGTAGTTGTTGTAAAAGTACTAGTAACAGTTGTAAAAGTAGTAGTAGTAGTAGTAGTAGTAGTAGTAGTAGTAGTAGTAGTAGTAGTAGTAGTAGAGTAGTAGTAGTAGTAATAGTAGTAAAATTTGTAGTTGAAGTATTAATCCAGTTCTTTAGTAAACAGTTCTATACAGGTTGTTTCAACTAAGATAGTTGTAGTAGTCGCTGTAAAAGTACTAGTAACAGTTGTAAAAGTAGTAGTAGTAGTAGTAGTAGTAGAAGTAGAGGTAGTAGTAGTAGTAGTAGTAAAGTCATAGTTGAAGTATCAATCCAGTTCTTCAGTAAACAGTTCTATACAGGGTGTTTCATGTAAGATAGTTGTAGTAGTCATTGTAAAAGTACTAGTAACAAAGTAAGTAGTAGTAGTAGAGGTAGTTGTAGTAGTAGTAGAAATAGAGGTAGTAGTAGTAGTAATAGTAATAGTAGTAAACATTGTAGTTGAAGTATTAATCCAGTTCTTTAGTAAACAGTTCTATACAGGTTGTTTCATGTAAGATAGTTGTAGTAGTCATTGTAAAAGTACTAGTAATAGTAGTAAAAGTAGTAGTAGAGGTAGTATGGTAATAATAGTAATAGTAGCAAACATTGTAGTTGAAGATTAATCCAGTTCTTTAGTAACAGTTCTATACAGGTTGTTTCATGTAAAATAGTTGTAGTAGTCGTTGTAAAAGTACTAGTAACAGTTGTAAAAGTAGTAGTAGTAGTAGTAGAGGTAGTAGTAGTAGTAGTATAGTAGTAGAGGTAGTAGTAGTAGTAATAGTAGTAAAAGTTGTAGCTGTAGTATTAATCCAGCTCTTAAGTTCAGTCTTATACAGGTTGTTTCATGTAAAATAGTTGTAGTAGTAGTTGTAAAAGCTCTAGTAATAGTAGTAAAAGTAGTAGTACTAGAGTAGTAGTAGTAATGGTAGTGGTAGTAGTGGTAGCAAAAGTTGTAGTTGTAGTATTAATCCAGTTCTTTAGTAAACAGTCCTATGCAGGCAGTGACATATAAGATAGTTATAGTAGTAGTAGTAAACATTCTAGTAGTAGTAGTAGTAGTAGTAGTAGTAGTAGTAGTAGGAGTAGTAGCAGCAGCAAAAGTTGTAGTTGTAGTTGAAGTATTAATCCAGTTCTTTAATAAACAGTCCTATGCAGATAATTGCATATAAGATTGTAGTATAGTAGTAGAAGTAAAAGCTCTAATAATAGTAGTAAAAGTAGTAGCAGTAGTAGTAATAGTAGTAAAAGTTGTAGTATTAATCCAGTTTAGTCAAGAGTCCTGTGCAGGTTGTTCCATGTAAGATCATTCAGGTAATATTTGTAGTAGTAGTAGTAGTAGTAGTAGTAGTAGTAGTAGTAGTAATTCCGTTATTCATTAAACACTTTGTAAAAATACAACTTGTTCCATGTAAAAAAAAAAGGTATCTGAAGTAATTATAGTAATAGTACAAGTTTTATCAGTAGTAGCCTAGTTGTTCTTGTAGTAGTAGTAGTAGTAGTAGTTCTTGTAGTACTAGTATTAGGAATCCAGTCTGGTTTTTCTGACCAGAGGGGAGAAACCGGGCACTGGAGTCATTAAGCAAGAATGTCCCAAACCTGGACTCGTGTGTTTTGTTTCGTTCACACGAGTTTAACCCAAAAACCTGCAGATTTAGGCCGAGTTTGTCTCTTCTAGAAATGTTACGCAGTGCATCTTTAAGTAAATATTAACTAATCTAAGAGTACTGTTAGGTTAGGAGTAAAAGTGTGCAGTTTAAAAGTACGCCGAGAAGTACGATTTTATTTAAAAGTTACTCAAGTAAAAGTAACTACAAAAATAACCTGATTAGTTGTATTTTATTTTTTTTTTTTTGCATTTTTTTTTTTTCTTCTGGAAGTTTCTCTAGTGCATCTTTAGATATTAAGAAACTAAGAGTACTGAAAAATAAAATAAACAATTAGAAATAAAAGTACTCAAAAGTAAAAGTAACTAAAAAAACCTGATTTTGTTTTTTTTTTTTTTTTGAGAAAGTACAGTGAATTAAAAAAAAAAATTAGAAATAAAAATATGCAGTTTAAAAGTACTCAAGAAAAGTAAAAGTAACTACAAAAATAACCTGATTAGTTGTATTTTTTTTTTGTTTTTATTTTTTATTTTTACAGTACTCTTAGTTTACTTAATATTTACTTAAAGATGCACTGCGTAACATTTCTACACAAAGTCAGAGAAACTTCCAGAAGCAAAAAAAAAAAAAAAAAAAAAAAAAAATAAAAATACAATACTGGAAGTTTCTCTGACTTTGTGTTTTGCCCAAATTCCTGTCTGCGCTGATAAGATAAGTCCACAGACCCTCTACTAGAAATGTTACGCAGTGCATCTTTAAGTAAATATTAAGTAAACTAAGAGTACTGCAAAAAAAAAATAAATAAATAAATGACCCAATTAGGAGTAAAAATATGCAGTTTAAAAGTACTCAGAGAAGTTTTGCTTAAAAGTTACTCAAGTAAAAACTAACTACAAAAATTAACTGATTAGTTGTAATTTTTTTTGCGTTTTTTTTGCTTCTGGAAGTTTCCCTGACTTTGTGTTTTGCCCAAATTCCTGTCTGCGCTGATAAGATAAGTCCACAGGTCACTATGGGTCATCTGAAACTCGAGACCCTGACTCCCGACCAATCGCGCTCCTCCCCCTGCCCACCTGTGCTCCCCTCGGCCAATCGCGTCGCGCCCCCTCTCACCTGAGCGGCGCGCGGCAGTACTTTTCCACTCACCTGGATCCGCCCACTCGACCTACTTACCTGGGCCGCGTCCTGTTCCTCAGACTAAGCTCCTTAAGTGCTTCCTTGATTCCTCGAGAGAGAGAGAGAGAGACAAACAAAGGGCTCTTCTAGGTTCACTTAAAGGCGCATTGTGTAACTTTTCTGCCTTCAAATGTTCCACAGTATGGCATTAAACCTTTCTGTTTTCACGGACCCCAAACCAGACCGAGTTACACGTCAGATCTGCGGAGAGGCGACCCCGCTCTCAGTTTTTAGAGAGGTTTTTGAGCTATAAAACCGCCTATAACTGAGGTAGTAGAGCTGTTTAAAGTCACACTGCGGAACATTCCAGGCAGACCAGTGATGTGTCCATAGCAACAGCCCGCAACGAAAAATGTACGCAGTGCACCTTTAAAGAAACTTCATTCAGAATTTAGATTTTAGCGCTCAATTTAGTCTTTTAGTTTGCTTTTAACCAAAATTATCTGTCAATACTAACAACAACTAGCATGCTAATGTGCACCGCCTGATTAAAGCACTTTATTTTGATTATCAGACAAGATAGAGACAGATAGAGTAATCAGATAACCCGATAATTAGAGCTGATGTTTGGTGTGTGAGAAATCTGATCCCCAAAAACACCTGATGACACGCGTCAGTGGAGCAGTGTTTTTAGACTCACTGTTTTATTTGGAAAACAAAGAAGTACAGTGAGATTTAAAATAACTCTTTCAATCTTTAACATTTTCTTTTTCATTTCTATCTTTGCCACACCACATTCACACAGACGGAAATCAGACTACACAGCCAAAAGTGGAGAGTTAAAATTTCAGAGTAAAATATTTCAGAGTTGTTTTTAACACAAAAAGTCTTATTATAACTATTTGAAAGTCGGGGTTATTTGCCAGAGTTGATATAGTTGAAGTTAATTCAACTTCCTCTTAGTGTTAATTCAACTTCCTCTAGTGTTAATTCAACTTCCTCTAGTGTTATTCAACTTTGTTAATTCAACTTCCTCTAGTGTTAATTCAACTTCCCTAGTGGCAAGGCAAGGTAAGTTTATTTGTATAGCACAATTCGTACACAAAGTAATTCAAAGTGCTTTACAGAATAAGAAATACATTAAAATCATAATAAAAACAAATCAAAACATAAATAATCATGAAGATTAAAATTTAAAAAAGAGAGACATAAATTGGAGAGAAGAGTGCGGAATGAAAACCTTTCAGTTATTTGCACAGTTAAACAGAAATGTTTTGAGTCTGGATTTAAACAGCGTCACAGAAGAGTCTGTCTCACATGTTCAGACTGTTCCAGGTTTTAGCTGCATGAACCTGAAACTCTGACTCCCCTTGTTTAGTCGTGACTCTGGGCACCAGCAGGAGGTTGGTCCCTGAGCTCCTCAGAGTGTGAGATGGTTCATATGACACTAACATGTCACAGATGGACTTTGGTGCTCGGCCATGGAGACACTTGTACAAGCAGAGCTGCTTTAAAGTCTCTGAGCCACAGGAGCCAGTGCAGAGACCTGAGACCAGGACTTATGTGCTCGTACTTCCTAGTTCGAGTCAGGACCCGAGCTGCAGCGTTCTGGATGTTCTGGATGTTCTGGATGTTCTGGATGTTCTGGATGTTCTGGATGTTCTGCAGCGTCTCACAGCTCGTTTGGAGAGACCAGTGAGCAGAACATTACAGTATCTAACCTACTGGAGACAAACGCATGGATAAG